GATTATCTTGAATTATGACCCAGTATCATGAAGGTGAAATTTGAATTTTTTTTGTACCAAGGATCGAACTCATGATCTCAAGCTTGCAAGTTAGGTTTTCATGCTGCTAGCTAAATACCCAGCTCTGAAACTGTTTTCTGTATGTTTTAGATGGTATCATCCTTGTTCCTCAGAAAATGTTGAATATTGTGGAATTTTTCTATATTGTATGGCTATAACTTTTTAAAGCAAACCAGAGGTGTCTTATGCAGTCACTTTTCAAGTTTCACATTTTCTGTGCGGTATCTCAGTGAGGGTTTCTCTATTTCAGACAGCTCTGTAACTTATGCTAGCCCCAAACTCAAGACAGTTCTCCTGCATCAGCCTCCCAAGATATATTTCTTATATCTGAATGGAAAGTGATCACTTATTGACACTGAGCTATAATTTGAAGCTTGCACCTGGTTTCATTGTTTATACTTTTTTACATACAACCGTTTTCCATGAACATTTGAGTTATTATTTATGTACCATATTTGATGTTATTTATGTTTTGTTCTGTGAAACCAAATTCAAATATCAAAATGCTGCTTAAGTATATTAAGAACAAAGGACTCAGTGGCCTAATTGAGATTTGAAGAGATATCATAGGTCTTACATCAAAGTGATTGATGAGATATTTGTCTGCCTCTGTGCTTTAAGGATGCTGGTACTGCAGGCTCTCACTATGAGCTCTGCATTATAGACAATGCACAGCGACTCTTTTTTTTTTTTTTTTGTCTTTTTTTGAGAAGGGGTCTCACTATGCAGTTCAGGCTGGCCTTGAGCTCACTTTGCAGCCCAGGCTGGTCTCAAACTCGCAAGGATCATCCCACCTCAGCCTCCTGAGTGCTGGGATTACAGGCTTGAGCCACCAAACCCAGCACACAGGGACTCTTGCAGTGACTCAGCAAAAGAATCAGTGCTCCTATTTGGCTGTTACATTAGCTTTGAGTTTCATTATGGCATCAAATTTGCTCTCAAAATATGTGTATGTACAAGCAATTAATCCCCAAGATTTGGAATTAAGATATTAAGAAATCAGTCTCCATTCAGCTGTTATGTGGGTTTTATTTGTTTAGTTTAGTTTGTTTTATTAAGACAGGTTTTCTCTACGTACATCAGCTAGATTTGAACACTTTATGGAGTGCAGAATTGCCCTAAGCTCAAAGCAGCCATCCTGCATCAGCCTCTTGAGTCCTGGGATTACAGATATGTGTGGTTTTACCCTAGAAAATATTGAGGTTTGTAACTTAGCTGTGTTGTAGATTGGCATAATAGATGCCATCTTGAGCTTTGCATTTAACTAGTGCCCTGTATTTCACCCAGAAAAATGGAAAAGTCACTCAGGGTAGAAGACCCAGGAGAAAAGCAAAATGAGCTGTACCCAAAGAAAAAAATTAACCTGCTCAACAAAAGAAGCAGAATACAGTTGTCATCCAAAAGTTATTATAAGATGCTAGCTAAATGATTTCCAACAGGATCTTTTTGTGATTCTATCCTTTAAAGTATCTGTAACTTTCCAGTTCAAAGCCTCTTCTTTAGATCCTGAAATGGGGATGGGGTTTTTTTATACAACTGGTCCTGAGACCAGCTAATGAAATTCCACATTTCCCAATTGGTTTGCTTGTCTTCCTATATTGTTGTTCACAAACTCAACTCAAGCTGCAGAAACCTTTACTGACACAAGCAAACAACAGGATTAAATGACATTGCCACTGAAATGAAAGAATAATAGTGAAAAGGAGAGGAGAAAAAAGACAACTGCCATGTGTTATAATGCCCACCTCTTTTCCCTAGTGATGAAGAGACTGAAACAGGAGAATGGCCATGTATTCAAAGACAGGCTAACCTACATAGTGAGTAGGCTGGCCAGAACTCCTGTGAGACTATGTCTTTAAATCAAAAAACTAAAATGAAAAACATAAACAACCAAGGTGACAGAAAGACTATTAAAAAATTATAGAGCTGAGTGAAAGTTGACTTATGCAAAATGGGATTTATTGAATGATGCTGCAGAAGAAGGAAGGCTATGTAGTGGCATCCAGGAGGCAGTGACAAAAACAGATTTAGGAATGGCACCTACTGTGCTACAGCACAACAATGACCTCCGTCCTCCAATACATTTGCAGTTCACTAGAATGAGGACTTTTAAAAGTGCATGGAAATATTAAATTCATGGCAAACAAGCAGCTTGAAATCCAGGCTTTGGAACATGGCCTTTAGCAGAATTTCATAATTAAATTGAAATAAAAATATAATCCTGCCCTGTTTGCTGTCAAATTTACCTAGTTTAATGGCTCACAACATTGAGAAATGAAGTCACAAACCAAAAGAAGTTCAAAAATTTTCTTAGAAAAAAAGAGAGAAGAATAGCCTTGAATTTTCAGGAGTGGTCTTCAGTATTTTGGCCACAGACCTATTGTCAGGGGTCATTTATACAGGAAAGCCACAATGTGGGTACAGTGTGTGTCTCAGACTACATTCAACCTATAAACTTATAGCTGCTTAACTAATATTACTCATCAGGAGAACAAGTCAGCCAGAAAAGGTATGTGGGAAGATGTTGGGAGCCGCAGCCCCGAGCCCGGTCGCCTTACTTGGCGGACGTGCGGCCTGTAGTAAAGAGCAAAGCCTGAGGTAGATTACCCCTCCCATCGAGTACGCCAGTTTCCTGCTTACCGCGTAAGCAACCCGCTCAACAATATAGTCTGCCTGGCAACTGATGATGTTAGCCAATCAGCTTGCCTTGCTTACTTTAACATGATTGGACACTGTACCCGTATATATACTGGTGCCACCCCTGGGAGGAAGTAGAAGCCAGGTAGAAGCCCGGAAGTAGAAGCCCAGAAGGAGCCGCGGAGAGCGGACCGATAGAGGCTTCGGGGCAGACTGAAGCACAAGAGGAGCCGCGGAGAGCGGACCAAAGGAGGCTTCAGCTGGGAGAACCCAGGGCAGGCTGTACGGAGAAGAAGAATAAAAAGAAAAGGTTGTCCACTCCCAGACTTTGTCGTGTGTCCTTCCTGCCGGCCGGGAGCGGACATCGACAGGAAGAGCCAAGGCATTTTGTGGGAACAATAGTCCAGTTGTTCTGGTCATTGATTATGGTAATTGATGCCTATCAGGATTTCCTGGAGGAGGTGGTGGTAACTGTAGTACATTTCAAGCTGTTGCTTTTCTCTTCAGGAGCATGTAGACCTGGTCACTGCATCTTCATCTTCAGTTCTGGCTTTCTTCAGCTGTGCCTGTTGCAGTGATTGTTGTATTTAGTTTTCTGCATTGACTCTTGAAGGTTCCAGTTTCCCTCTGATTGTATATCGATTTCTGTCTACATTGACATCCTTTGCTAAAATCACAATAGTATTTGAATGGATAAAGTGATGTTTATACATTTAAAATATTCATTAATACAGGCCAGGGCTTTAAGCTCAGCAGGCAGAAATGTCTGCCTGGAAAGTGCTAGGTTGTAACTTTGATCCCTGGTACCTATAAAAAAAAGTAATTTAAACTGCAAGGCAAGAAAATCATTTCATGTGTGAAAATGTAAGTTTACAAAATTTATAACTATGTCAATGGCAAATTAAACATTGTTAATAGTCATATTTAGTATCTAAAGTTGTTGGTTCTGGGGATTGAGGTCAGTGATAAAAGAAGCTGCCTGGAGAGCACAAGGTAATGAGTTCAATCCCTCATACAAAAAAAAAAAAACTTGCAGTTGTCAGCGATGCAGTGCTATGAGCACATTTACTGAAACTGATACTTGTTAATTAATAGGCTTCATGTTTCCTTTGTGGTCTATGAAATACCTGCAGATAACATGGCAATTACAGTAAATGATGTACTGTGCCCTACAGGATTGCTATTTTCTGAGTTGTTTTTATTTTTTGTTTTCCCACATACTTGAAAGTTGAAAATGTTGGCTGATGCTAGCTAGAAAAACTGTGATAATCATTTTATTCAATTTAGTGATATATTTCCCTATATTCATTAAGAACATTTTATTTGCTCCAATTACCCCAAGTCAAATTGATAAACAATTCTTAAAGTTACAGGCAGCTGAGTTAGTTAGAAATACAGGCAACCATACCATGATATAGTGGAATGAAATTCCTGAACTTCTATGTCTGGTATGAATTTGTGTTCTCTAAAGTGCAAGAATGAATTTTAAGAACAACAGAGTTGAAGAGCAGAATATATTTATTGAGAGATAGAAAGTGAAAGTATTTTGCTCTAAATAGGATTTTTTCGAATTGGGAGGTGGAACCAGGGGACTTTTACCTTGAAGTCACTTTCCTCTCCCCTATTCAACCTACCTGTGGCCAGAAAAGAATCTCAATCAGCTACTTGCATATCAGCAATGCCACCTTTAATTAAGCACCACCCACGCCACAAACCATATGTATGCCACCCACATATTTCCAGAGAAAAAGCCAGACCCCCAGTGGTCATGGGGTTCTCCCCATATTCTTAGAATAAAGGCCATTTTGAATTTGTATTCTCTTCTTTACTACACCAAAAATCCTATCTGAAAGCTTCTATCTGAGAAAAACAGGAGGGATTCTGAGCCTCTAGTAAAAGACTCTGTCTTTTCTAGAGACCTTATAGAATAAAATCATGTGATGAGATAGGTTTAAAGTGGGTTAGGTTACTGAGACTACCAAGGAGGTAAATTAGCACAATAGAGAAGCAAAATATAAGAAATGTAAAAGTGGCCTTTTATTTATAGAATTTGGAGAGGAGCTCACAGCTACCAAGGGTTTGGCTCCCCACCCTCCCCCGAATGACTATGGGGTTATAGGGTATATGTGACTTTTGACTGGATGTGGTGCTTGGAGGGGACATTGATGTCATGCTAGGAGCTGATGGGAATTTTCTTTAGGCCCCTGGGAAAGAAAGAGGAAGTTGTATTCAAGGAGAAAAGAGGAAGTGGCCATATGAGTAAGCATCCCTGATTTCTCATTCTTCCACCTTGAACTACAACCATGAAGTCCTGTAAGTGTTTGAAGGTCAAAGCTCTTTCAAGTACATCCTTCGGTTTGAATGAAGAAATCAAAACAAGAATTTTTGCTATCTGTCTTCCTCCATGGCTGTTGGTAAACCATTCATAAGAAATATTTTGAGTCAATTCCTTAATGCATGGTCCATACCATAACCAAAATTACAGATCAGTTCAGTTTCAGAAAAAGAAGCAGCAATTAAAGGCAGGGTTAAAGCCTTCAATGCAAGTATCCATGGCATGGTGAGATCAACAATGTGTGATACAAACTACTACTGATTTCTCTGACTTCAAGAAAGAGAAAAGTTTATACTAATATTGTTATCCTGGAATGAATCTCCCGGTCTACTATGTCTGATATTAGGATTTTGTCCTGTAAAGTCAAAGAATGAATTTTAGGAACAACAGAGATTAAGAGAAGAATATACTTATTCAGAGAAAAAAGGTGCTTGACAGAGAGAAGGTATCCTGAGCAGGTTGCCAAAGACTGTCCATTCTAGGGACCTTTATAGAGTAAAATCATGTGGTGAAGTGAGTTTAAGGTGGGGAAAACTAGGAACTCACAATGCAGATGGGCATAAGGTGGCACAGAGTTATGGTAGCCAATAAGATTATAAGTTCAGGTAAAGTTGATTTAATTGGGAACAAAGGGGGAAGTGAGTCACATAGAAAGCAGGCATTCTTAGGCAGCTGTGTGTCTTCCCTTAGGGGTTTGGGAGGGTGACTCCTGAGTTCCTCAGGATGATAGGAACTATTTAGAATGTCAGTCTTTAGGATAAGGATACATTTCTTTAAATGGTGACTCCTGACTTCCTCAGAGTGCTAGGAACTATTTAGAATATCAATCCTTAGGATATGGATGAATTTGCTTATCATTTATCTTGAGCCTTGGCCCATAGCATGAGGTGTCAGTCTTCTCCATAGTTGCAAGGTATCTGGTCTCCTGCATGGGCTCCTTGGGGGACCTAGCCATGTCTCATGCCAATAGTATTTAAATAACTCAGGACCGGCACTGTTTAGAAAATTCATTACAGATGTCTTGTGCTCTGGGTGAATGTTCTGGGGATAACAGTGTGCAATGTATATACCATTGTTGCCCCCTGATTGACATGTTTTGGAATTTAATTTTAGTTGATGTGTTCTTTTTTCCTTGAAATCAAATGGATTTGAAAATTAAAAGCCTGAGGAAAGCTCTTCAGTACAGATACTCCTCTGTCGAGCTGAGATCACCACTGTAGAAGAATGGCAGCTCCAGAAGTCTCTGCAATGCAGCCTGTTATTTGGGATCCTCTCTTGCAGGGAGGGGCTCCTTTCCCTGTTTATTTTTGACTCAGAAGGACGACAGTAGAGCAGGAGTCAATCAGTGATGAAGGGGCAGGCTATATGAACTGTCCAATCAGGTGGGACACTGCTGGCTGTGACTTCTGTCTGTTCTGGTGGCTCAGCATGATTTACCTGTTCTGAGTACAACAGTGGTAGCAAAATGCTTGCTGGATCTCATTTAGTACTTTTGATGTCCTGTGGCCTGCTTGGCAAAGAACCTGAGAGATCCTGTAGCCATGGAATGGTGAGGTTGTGGATAGGCGCCCAGAAATAGCGTGGATTGGGCAAAACAGGTTACAAGTGTTTAGGAGTAGTTCCAGTGTCTGGAGCCTCAGGTATTTAGTTAGCTTCAGCTCCTGAGGTTCTCCAGCTTTGGCCATGGTTCATTCACTATCCCTTTTGCCTCTTGCTGTTGGCAAGGGTAATTTGGGATCCCCAGAACCCTGGCTTCACTATTTCAGCAGCAGACTCAAGAATCATCTTTGAAATTCACTGCTAGCCTGGTAAGTCCACTATCTTAGTCATTGGGCGGAGCTTGGGAAGACCCTGACTATGATGCTTTTGTAGTTTGTAGAGCACTAATGAGCTAGGTCTATGCCCTCTTTCTGCAGAGGAGCAGATCTGGAATGTCCAGAGTTTATTAATGTCTATAATGCCGGGCCTCATAGCCACAATGGCTCAACTTAAACTTGGGCTTCTTTGTATTTATAGTGATCTCCTAAATTTATAGTATGTTCTCCTATTTCCATCCTCATGACAGGTAGTGACAAAGGTCCTGAGAATTCAGAAACATGTAGTACTGTGGCTCAGCGGAGAAAGGCTTCTGAAACAACTGGTGAACTCCTGTGTATTATACAGATCAGTGCAAAATAATTTCTGATCATACTTAATTATTTAGGTGGCAGAGACTAGGTTTGTGAGAATAGCCATAGAGTTTTGAATTCTGAGAAATATGAAGCAAATATGAAAGTGTTATCAAGGACGGGGTAAAAATTTGTGAAGGACAAATTCCAGAAAGGGCTACCTGTTAAATTCTCATCGAAAAATTCCAAAATTTACGCATTTGCATGGAAATATACATGTGATATCCTTCCGAATGTAAAGGAATAGGGGTGTCTCCTCTGAATTAAGAGCTGATTTAGTAGCTTCGTTGTTAATAGACAATTTAAATATGGAAATTCTGTACAATGGACTTATCTAAGTAGTGTGAATGAGAAGCCCTAAATAGAAATTTTGCAGTGATATTGTAGTTAGGCATGAAGGGTTTCCTGCTTAGGATGGATCAGAGGAGTGTGGAAAAGATGTGGAAGTGGCTGACAGGATACAGGCAGCAAATAGCAGGACATACAACAGAGAGCGTCTTCACTGAAAGTCAGGTAGTTCTTAGAGTAAGTATGAAGTAAAGTTGGGTTCTGATTGCTTCATTGAGGTGATCAACACTAGCTCTGGCAACAAACAATCAGTATTCCACATCCCTGTCAACCCATAATTTTTGTGTTCCATACTTGAGATCTAATTTGATTATCTCTAATTATGCCCCAGTGTCATGAAGCTGAAATTTTCAATTTTTTTGTACCAAGGATCAAACGCATGACCTATGCTTTCCAGGCATGTGTTCATGCCACTGAGCTAAATACGCAACTATGAAAATGTTTTCTGTGTAGTAAGGACGATACCCACATTGTTTCTGAGAAAGTGTTGAATATTGTTGGAATTTTTCTGTATTGTATGGCTATAATTTTTTTTAAAAGAAACCAAAGGTGTCTTATGCAGTCTCTTTTTAAGTTTCACTTTGTCTGTTCGGTGTCTCAATCAGGGTTTGTCTATTTTAGACAGCTCTGTAACTTAGGCTAGCCCCAAATTCAAGGAAGAAATCCTTCACCAGCCTCCCAAGATATATTTCTTATATTTGAATTGAAAGTGATCACTTGGTGACAGTGAGGTATAATTTACAGCTTGGGCCTGGTTTCATTTTATATACATATTTTTAAAATACAGCTGTTTTCCACTAACACTTGAGTTATTATTTATATACAATATTTGATGTTATTTATGTTTTGTTCTATGAAACTAAATTCATGTTTCAAAATGCTGCTTAAGTATATTAAGAACAAAGTACTCATTGGCCTAAATGAGATTTGAACAGACATCATCTGTAGTCTATCAAAGTGATTACTGAGATTTTTTATTTAATTTTGAAATTGGTAAAATAGAACAGAACAAGGCAGCATAAGGTCAACTAAGATCACACAGTGAAATTGGTACACAACTTCACAACAGGTTACTGGGATAACAGTAATAGGTATCACAGTATATTTTGTTATCTTTGTCATAGTTGTTCTTTAATCACATATGTGAAAATGAGATGAAATACAGAACATTATAGAACTTATCAAAACAGAATATTCAATTGAGCAGTACCATTAATCAGAATAGAGTGAAACAATAATAAAAACATTTTCCTTCAAAGAGATAGTAGAAGGAAGTCCCCCTTATTTGCTATGTTCAACTTCCCATGAGATGCTCAGAATTCTGGTTCCTATTTGCTAATGTGGGGTGACAGGAGAAGAGGGGTAGGGAAGTGGGATGTTTGATTCTAGGTGGTGCATCAGTAGGTTTGGGGTTGCTTACTAGGGAGGCAAGCTGGTTGTTTGGTTTCACAGCGCCCTAAGTTCCAACATAGAATGGATCTTAGGAGCTGCTGCTGGTTATCCCCCCGGAAGGGCTGCAGTTTTCCAGACCTCCACTGCTCACCAGGGAGGGGAGGTGCTTGCTTGGCTTTCCAGTGTCCTAAGTTCCAACATGGCAGGGACCTTAGGAGCTGCTGCTGGTTATCCCCCTGGAAGGGCTGCATTTTTCCAGACTGCCACCGCTGACCGGGGAGGGGAGGTGCTTGCTTGGCTTCCCAGGCAATTGATGAGACATTTATCTGCCTCTGTGCTTTGTGGTTGCTGGTCCTGCAGGCTTCTCACTGTGAGCTCTGCTTCAGAGAAAGTGCACAGGGAATCTTGCCATGACTCAGCACGAGAATCAGTGCTCCTATTTGGCTGTTACATTAGCAGTGAGTTGCAATCTAGCATCAAATTTGCTGCTTTCAAAAATGTGTATAAACACAAAATTAATGACCAAGACATGGATTTAAATTTGAACAAATCAGTTTTCATTCAGCTGTTTTGTTTGGATTTATTTGTTTAGTTTAGTTTTGTTTTATTGAGACAAGCTTTCTGTATGTATATCAGGTGGATTTGAACACCCTGTGGAGCCTAGAATTGCCCTGACCTCAATGATGCGTTCCTCTCTCTGCCTTTTGAGTGCTGGGTTTATAGATATGCACCACCACACTTTGCTTTTGATTCAGATTTGTAGGACAGAATTTAAGATATCCCAAACCTGGGGTCTCAAGCTTCCTTTGAGAAATATATGTATGATCCTTTAGGAGGCAGTGACCTTTGAGGATGTGGTTGTGAACTTCAGCAATGAGGAGTGGATTTTGCTGAGTCCATCCCAAAAGAACCTCTACAGAGATGTGATGGGTGAAATCTTTAGGAACATGGCTGCAATAGGTAAGGATGAAACCTTTTTGGCACTCATGCTGTCAGAATATTGTTTGTTGCTCATTAGTGCTGTTTCATTAAAAAGAATATGAAAATATTTTTAAAAATATCTCAGACCTGGACACATTATATCATAAATCTAAACAAAATCTATTAATTTGTATGCATTACTCAACTGAGTCCTGGTATTTCTATGTCTACAATTCAGGAAGACTTGGGGACATCAAGGAAGCTGAAAAAGAAGGCAAAATGTACTGGAGATACTTAAGGTAATTCACACTCACAAGGAGAGGAATGTTCCTGAGTAATTAGTGAGTCAGCAGAAAAGTGACCACCAAAGAAATGAGGCACCATTCAATTTAATGTCAGTAATATTCTCCAAAGATGTATAAGCTAGTGTATATATGAGGGAATTAAATCATGAAAATGTATGACATTGCATATAGTTGTATACGAAAGGCATACACTTTGAGTTATGACATTCTGCCTTCAGTTTTTCTACCCATATATACATGTGAATACAACACATTCATTATCTAATAATTGCTAAGATTGCAATAGAATTTGAAATAAAACTGAGTGCTCATGTTTCCAAGCCACGCTCTAGACAATCGTCGATTCTGACTAATATTCTTAGTAGGCAGTTGGAATGTTAGTGCACTCATTTTGAATATCAGTATGCAGTTGTCTCTAGAAATTGATCCCCTCATACTTGTCCTGAATATTTTCAAAATGACAAAATCTGCATAAAATACTGATACATGCTTATTCATATACAAAGCAGATCATGTTATAACAGATCAGGCCTTGAAGCTTATCTATCTATCACTGGATTTGTAGAGAAGGAAAATGTTAATAGACTCTCTGTGATTGTGCATTCTTGTAAACCCAGCACACTAGGAATCAGATTTTGCAGAATGGCAATTTCAAGTTCAAACTTCACAGCTTAATGATCTATGAAAATCTCTTAAAATAGATTTTAAAAAAGCTATAGATTTATACTAAGACCTGTTCTTCATTCCCAGCCCAGAATGGAAAACAATGTGTTATGTAATGTCAAAAAATAAATAATATAATGTCACTTGCCGTAAGAATTAGATGGGTCTTTCAACCATCAATTCAGTGAAATAGCTCAGCTATAAAACCTAAAAGGTCACTGGCTTTCTTTTAGATGAGAAACCAAAATACAAAATGTGTAAAGAAATGAAACAGGGTTGTTAGAGAAAAGTAAGACTGACCATATGGAAAAGGGGACTACAGGTTAAGGACAGAAGGGAGATTGTGATGGGGAAACATATGAGAATAATCTGCATGTGATACATATATGTACCCATGCCCAAAGTGAAGCTAAAGATTATGCATTTCAAAGTACCAACTTTTAAGATTTCCAAATGTGTACCAGTCTTTTGGTTGTTTTCAACATATCTTACAAGGCCTTTCTGTTGCTTCATGGTCAGAATTTCTTAGCAGGCATTAAAAACAGAACTTGATATTAATGCAGTCATTAAATGGAGACCAATTTCACTGTGAATTTTTCTTTTTTTAAATTTAATATAAGGAAAGATTAAATAAGATAAAATAAGTATAAATAATACTGCTTTCAAAGTGAAAAAAACAATAAGAAATTGCAAGATGATGATTACAAATGCTGATCATAGAAATAGTTATGAAATACAAAAGTGAAACATATGAATTGGGGATTCAAACAGTGAGACTGCAAACAGTTTTGTTCAACTCTCCAAGAAAAGCTTATTAATATGGTTATAAATCCTATATGTGATTTTGTCTTTACAGAAATGACAAGCTAGGGAAATCTTATGGATATACATCTTGGAAGCAGTGTAAAGAAGTATTCCTTTGTACTGCAGAAGGTAATGTGAATGTGAAAGAAACAGAAACACACCACGATGTTCAGATCCATGAAAAATATTGCAGTGGAGGGAAACCCTATGTATGTCAGCAGTGTGGAAAAGGTTTCACCAAATCTGGACATTGTAAGCAACATGAAAGAATTCACACTGGAGAGAAACCCTATGTATGTAAGGAATGTGGGAAAGCTTTTAAAACACAGGGAGATTGTAAGAAACATGAAAGAATTCACACTGGAGAGAAACCCTATGTATGTAAGCAATGTGGGAAAGCTTTTACCAGACCTGATTGTTGTAAGCAACATGAAAGAATTCACACTGGAGAGAAACCCTATGTATGTAAGCAATGTGGGAAAGCTTTTACCAGACCTGATTGTTGTAAGCAACATGAAAGAATTCACACTGGAGAGAAACCCTATGTATGTAAGCAATGTGGGAAAGCTTTTAAAACACAGGGAGCTTGTAAGAATCATGAAAGAATTCACACTGGAGAGAAACCCTATGTATGTAAGGAATGTGGGAAAGCTTTTACCATACCTGGATGTTGTAAGAAACATGAAAGAATTCACACTGGAGAGAAACCTTATGTATGTAAGCAATGTGGGAAAGCTTTTAAAACACAGGGAGATTGTAAGAAACATGAAAGAATTCACACTGGAGAGAAACCATATGTATGTAAGCAATGTGGGAAAGCTTTTAACACATGGGGATACTGTAAGAAACATGAAAGAATTCACACTGGAGAGAAACCATATGTATGTAAGCAATGTGGCAAAGCTTTTAACACACATGCAAGTTATAAGGTTCATGAAAGAATTCACACTGGAGAGAAACCCTATGTATGTAAGGAATGTGGGAAAGCTTTTACCAGACCTGGATGTTGTAAGGAACATGAAAGAATTCACACTGGAGAGAAACCCTATGTATGTAAGGAATGTGGGAAACCTTTTACCAGACCTGATTGTTGTAAGCAACATGAAAGAATTCACACTGGAGAGAAACCCTATGTATGTAAGCAATGTGGGAAAGCTTTTAACACAAGTGCACATTGTAAGGTTCATGAAAGAATTCACACTGGAGAGAAACCATATGTGTGTATGCAATGTGGGAAAGCTTTTAAAACACAGGGAGATTGTAAGAAACATGAAAGTTCACATTCAATATAAAACCAGTGTATATAGGCATCATAAGAATGGTTTCAGCACATGTACATATTGCATAATGCATGAAAGTCTTCACACTGGGCAGAAAACTTACATATGTAAGGAATGTGGAAAAGGTTTCAGAAGAAATGCTCATTGTACAATACATTATAAAATTTACATGGTTGAGAAACCCTGTGTGTATGTGAAGAATGTGGGAAAGCTTTCACCACACATGGATTTTGTAAAATACATCTATGACTTCACACTGGTGAGAAAGCCTATGTATATAACAATGTGGCAAAGCTTTTACTGCATATAGTCATTGCAAAACACGTGAAAGAATTCACACTGGGAAGAACCACTGGCTATGTAAGCAAGTGGAGACACTTTCACCAGCCAGATTGTAAGTGAAATACATGAAAAAACTCACACGAGATACATCCTATGTGTTATGGGAATACTCTCAGCATGCTTGATCATTGTTACATATCTGAAATAGTTCACTAGGCAGAGATGATATGTGGATTAACTATGTGAGAAATATAGCCATCTTTCTTGTTAAATACATAGAAAAAGCATCACTGTTCAGACAGTTTAGATCTAAGTTTACTTTAAAAACCCCAAGGAGACCTGAAGAAATAATCAATACAGAAATTAGATGTCAATATTTCTTCACAAATATTCCAGAAATGACAAATCTGAGGTGGGGCTCTCCTTAGGTGCACATGTTGCATTTGGTTTTCAGTTAAACACTTGTACCTCTCTAGATTTTTTAATCTAGTTGTTTTTGTGCTTCAACATGGCATCTTGTAACTAAACATCCTAAACTGAAATGGGCTTTTCACTTTCAAGTATGGATAGTGCCTCCATACTTAATATTTTGTCTTTAAAACTTAAATTTTGTATTTTTATGGTGAATTTTAATGTTGTTTATTTAAAGAGGAAAAAAGTGTAGAAATAATAAAGAATTTCAGAAAAATAAACAATAAGAAATCACTAGTTGATTAGTATCATATTGTCATCTTAGAAGTAGTTGTTCAAGTTACAAATTTAAAGCATACAAACTGATATTCAAATAATGACACTGTCATGGTTCACCTCAATGATCCACCAAAAAGTTATTACTATGCCTATCTGTCCTACACACTTTTTTTTTTCTTAAAGAGGGTAAGATTAAACATAGCGAAACAGAGCAAAACAGTTCATAAGAAAACAAGTTAAGGAAACACAGATTTCAAAGCAAGCCCACTGGAAATGTTCACTGTCTATCTTACTGTCTCTAGTTTTCTTCCAAATAGTTGTTCCCATCCTCACACACATTGAATATATACTGAAGATTATAGAACTAATCAAGCTTGCTTTTTCGATCTTCAACACTGATTTTGGCGAAGTCGATAATGACTACCATAATGTCTCTCATTGTCTTTGTAGTAGCTGCCTTTATCTTTATATATGCTGAAAGGGAACATAAGAGACTAGACTAATATCACTCTGAACAGTGAATAATAATATCCTGAGAAGGAGAAAGGTGAGGAATTGCCTAAAAAAAGAAGGCAGAGGACATACTTAAAAGTGTATCAGGATTTAAAAGCTAAAGTCTTGTTGCTCTGTTTAGTTTGGTTATATTTTGTTCTGGTCTGTCTACTCATATTAGATTTGAGGGCACAGAGAGATAACCCAAAAATAGCAGTTTATACTATGGTAATTATCCTTAATTTCCTATTAACTAAAACTGAATCCCTATATTACTTATATTGTCTTCTATGACTGATGTTCTTTGAAGCTGGATTGTTTCAATGTTATTTGGCCTTGACTGATTTTATTCACATTTGGTATGCTTGCTGGTATCAAGTTCAAGAGCAGAGTCAACTACTCTGAAGATGACAAGGTGTAGAAGATATTCATTGGTGGGCTGGGTGTTTAGCTCAGTGGCTTAAGGCACCTGCCTGGCAAGTGTGAGGTCATGAGTTTCATCTCCAGAGCCAAAATAAATAAATAAATAAATAAATAAATAAAAGATATCCATTCCAGGTTTGATTATTTTTTTAATTAAAGAGAAGAAAGGAAATAAAAAACAAAGCAGTAAAAGGGTACAAGTAATATAGAATTTCAAGAAAAAATACAGTAAGAAATCACTAGTTAATAGGTTACATATTGTCATTGCTAGGGTTATTTCCAAAAGATGAAAAATATTAACAAAAGATGAGAAATATAAAATAAAAAGTGGCCTTTATTCTGAGAACATGGAGAGAAATGACCAGCACCCTCATCGCTGGCGTCCAGCAATCTCTCCAGCGGACACGTCGCATGGGGGCCTATAAATAGCCTCGGTTTGGGGTGGAGCCTAAGGCGGGCATTAGGGATACACAAGTAGCCCATTGGTCCTAGGTTTTGCACCATATGTAAATTTCCAGGGGCTGGAAGATGGCATCACAGGTAACTTCCTAGGGGCAGGGGAGATGGGGCTTCCTGCTTCCGGTTGTGGCTTTCCTGGCTACAGTGTCCTATCTGGGCAAAAATCCTTTCAGTCATCTTAGAAACAGTTGTACAAATTATAAAATTAAAGCATATAAAGTTGACATTCATACAGTGAGATTTTAGAAAGTTCTGTTCAGTGATCCAACAAAAGCTCAGTAATATGATTTTCCATCCTACAGACTCAAGCATGCAGTTATATCCCTTAGACCACCTTCCTTTCCTCTCTTTTTTACAATAACAGTTACAAGTTTTGAGTTTTTTTACTCCCACAGTTCTTATTACATTTTTTTGAAGAGAATAAATCCTAACATGACTAAACAAAACAGAGACAGTTAGAACAGAAGGATGGGCATAGTACATGATGCAAAAATAGAATATCAGATGATCAAAAATGGTTACCATTGTGCCTCTTGCTATTTTTGAAAAGAGTTGCTATATCATCAGATATAATAGAATTGATCAAAACAGTACAGAACACGACCAATCAAACCTACACTGGAAACCTTGCAAGACTTCAAAAGAAGATAATAGTCAAACTATAATGGGCATCATAATAAATCTTATTGCCTTCAAAGTGGTTGTCTATACCCTCAAACTTGGTACTATCAAACAAAATAGAATATAGTAAAATCAGACAGAACAAGATGTGGAGAGCAATACTGGGGTTCAAATCAGGTTAATAGGAAAACAAATAGTTACTATAATATATCCTGCTATTTTTAAATTTAGTTTTCCTTAATTGAAAAAAATAAAAAATTTTAATTTAAAAAAGGGTGGAGATTGAGATAAAAGATGACATTGTAATAGAACAACACTGGTCAGAATGGAACAATTTAAGCATAATTGTGTTTCATTCCCAGATAATCTAACATAATAGTAGTCACCAGAGTGCCTCATTCCTTGAATTATTTGAGTATAACTTCATATACGATAGCATCAAGCATATCAAGACAGTGTGAAGCCATTCAACAGAATGAAAGAATTACAGGGTATTTAGAACCAGTTAACAGAAAATGAACAATGGTTTCTATATTATCTCCTTGCCTTTTAAAAAATTTTCTTTATACTATCACATATAGTAGAATATAGTAAGATACATGTTAAAACCAGTGGAAACAGATAGTTTGTTAGAGAGGGACCATTCTTGCACCACTGAGATTGAGCCCAGTGTTGATAATGTTGGTTAATTTTGAATATGCTGGTGAGTTAACGTTGCAAACATTTAGCTGAACACTTTTGTTTATGTTTGGTAGGAATATTAGCCAACAGAGTGTTTTCATTTACATTATTTTTAAGACATTATTGTCTGGCTTCATTCTCAGGATAACTTTAACTTTGTCACTTAAAAGAAGTTGATGGTGGGTTTTCCTTCAACTTGATCAAAGAATTGAAAAACAATCAGTATTTATTCTTTATTATATACTGGATAAAGTTCACCAGTGCACTTTTTGTATCCCAGCTTTGTTGTTGTTATTAAGAAGCTGTGATTTTTACCCATTGCCTGTGCTCCTTATTGCTCTGTTCATCAGACTATTTCATTCTGATGCATGTGGTTCTGGGACATCAATGCTCACCACATATCCATTAAGGGTCACATGTCATTTTACTTTCGGATGCTAACATTTACTTTTGTATCTTCAAACTATCTCTATAATATGTAATTTTGTAACTCCTTTCCCTTACTCAGTTTTTAATGCACACTCTTGCAGGGTTTGGTTACTGATGGAGGAAACTGGGGCTGGTGAGGGCCTGGTCTCTTATTTAAGGCTTCATACCCTGACCTGCCTGCAGTGTCCCCATCTCCTGACCTGCTCCCTGTAAACATCTGTCCTGCTCCATAGCTACGGTGAGTCCACACGTGGCAGCTCAGATCTGCACCTGGGTGGAAAACATTCAGTCATGTTGGGGTTTGTGACAGACTGGCCTCATACAGAGCTCCCCTGAGTGAGACAGGCATGTAGGAAGGAGCTCTGGAACCATTCCAGCTCTCCCCTGTCCAGTGTGCAGTGTGTGATGCTTTCCTGAGAACTCACTGATGGAGGAGACAGCCTGGACCTGGGTATTTTTTAGCCATGGTTCCTGCTAGGAGACATGGTGTCCTGAACCTCTGCCTGGACCATCTCTGTGACTTCAGATTTCCACAGAGATGTGAGCAGACTCAGTATTCTTCTACCAGGCTCTAGCTCTATGCTGAGGCTTCAGGTGAAAAATCTGTGACCCTCAATTTATCTTATATACATTTAACCTGGAAATTCCACTCCTAAGGGTCATTATAAAAATGAGATTTACAGACACCATATTCTCTTCTTAATCAGGTAAAATGTGGACAATTAGATACCATGAATGTTCCACAGCACAGCTGCTGAGTTAATTATAAATTACAGCCACTGAAAATGCTAAAAGAAGGCCATGTCCTAGGCCATGTCCCTGATCTTTCCTGAGATGGAAGAGAGCTTGTGTCCTGGCTCTCTCTCCACCCAGCAGTGAAGAGACACAAGCCTGCACAGCAGATGAGGACAGGAGCGAGGAGCTGGTCAGTGGCAGACCCCTCATCCTGGGAGGGATGCCTTTATGGCTTTTCCATTGCATTATTTATAGTGCTCCATTCAATATTGCTGCTCTTCTGTTCAATTCAGTTCAGAATAAATAGTTGGTATTTTCTTGAATAGGTGAGTGGAAATGGATGATTTAATTTTCTTTTATGTGTAATGTAGGATAAGCATATGGAAGAACATTCAAGCTTCACTTTATAGATATATAAAATAAGGAGTCTTTTTATTCAGAAAGGCAACACATCATTCATGACTAACTTTTAAACCTGCCATGTGGATCGTGCTGTGGTGGGTGTCCTGCCCTCCCTACCTGAGAAGTCACTGTGACCATCTGTGTCTGGCACAGGACACCCAGAATCTTCTTCAGAGTCTCTTTTTCCAGCAAGGAGGACTGGAATCTTCCTGTGCTCAGGCCACGCAGGGAGTGTGCAGCATGCAGAGGAGCCCAGTACCTCCTGCCTTACACCGTTTTCTACCACAGCATCCCTGCTGCAGCCCTGCAGGCCCAATAAGGCAGAGCCCCCAGGGTGCAACAAAGACCCTACCACCTCAGCCCCAGGGGCCTCAACTCCTGGGTCCTGGCCTCAGCCTCCACCAGGCTCCAGGCTTTGCCATGTATTGGACATTCATAGTGGTCCAGACACACCATCAGTGCCTTGGTGCAAAGGCCATTTTCCACAGTGACCCTTCCATTCTGCAAATTTTGATCCTTTCCTTTTAAAAGGAGGTTGAGGCATTGGAGACAAAACCCCACACTTTGGCATTACGTTTTGTTTTTCTTTCTTTCCCCTTCTTGTTTTCTTCTACCCTTTCTTCTTCTTCTTCTTCTTCTTCTTCTTCTTCTTCTTCTTCTTCTTCTTCTTCTTCTTCTTCTTCTTCTTCATCTCTTCATCTTTGTCTTTGTCGTTCTCTTGGACTTCTTTGTCTTTGACTTCTTTATCTTCTTCTTGGTTTCTTTGTTGCTTTAAGCATATATTTAGAGGTGCATTTGGCCAAAAACCTTTCTTTGTCTTTTCACTTTCCAGTTTACTGAAGTTTTTACAGATCTCTAATGCAATTCTAACCCTATGTGTTTGAATGCTCAGAATCCATTCTGTGGCTTGGTAGAATGAGGGAAGTAAAGAAGAAACTGAACTTGGGGAAGTTTTTGTGCATTTTAGCATATCGTGCAACAACACGTGACTCATGGCTTTTTACCTTGAAAATATGGACTTCAGCAGCAAGTGGGTCTGCTACAGACAAAATGAGTTTCCTGTAGGTGTTTCAAACAATCTCATTTCCCCTCAACTTGTGAAGCACATGGTATATGTTTCTTATGGCCAAACTTGAAAAATTATTTCCAGTAAATGAAAGGCTGCCACTGGTCCTGAAATGATGACAGAACTTTCTTGTAAACAGATAGTCTGATTCACACCCTGGCCAACAGAAACTAAGAGAGTCAGAGATGGCTGGCACAGATAGAAACACCTCAAGATTGTCAACTACCAGCCACAACAAGTAGGAACCACGTTGCTGAGCTTTCATTGTTGGGTGATTGAATTGTGTGGTGGGTTTTGAACTAGGTTTTCTGAGGCAGCGCAGTAAATCTAGGTTGCTGCTTGGATCCCCCTTCCTGCAGTGCAATACAAACAGAAAGTCATGAGCATGCATCATTTAATTGAAAATTTCTATTGCAGTTATGAAACCTGTATGCATGAGAGTCCACATCTCTATCATAGCAGACCCACCCACGTGCATTACCACCATATCTTGTAAAGGGTCAGTTTATTTATACAAAATGCACAGTGATGTTCTCAGCCTTGATTTTCCAGACTGGTGCATTTCTTG